GTAGATCTGTAGGTAGATCAGTGCAGTTCTACAAACCTAGATAAATGTACACTGTTCTGGACCACACAAGATCCCACAATAGGATATTTGTTGCAAAGTGCAGCAATACAGGGAAATGCCTAAGCTAGGTATGAACGAGCTAGTCTGAGTAATAGCCATCAGTGGAAGCAGTATGGCCACATCAGCATTGCCTTCTGCCCCAACAAGCTCATTGTGCTGAGATGTAGAACTAATTAGTCCAGCAAAGCACATTGCTAATATGTCCACAGGGAAACAAGCAAGTATCTCTGCAAGGCACTGCAATGTGGCATATTTGAATATCAACTTGTTGAGAGTAGCTCAGGAATCTCTACATGCATTGTAATTGAGAGGTTTTAAATATGCCATTATCTTCCTCACTTAAAGTTGCTGGTAGGTGGTAGAAAAAATTACTTCTGTAAAGCTGCAGAAGAGATGAATTTGTAAGAATATCATTTCATGTCATGAAATGAAAATGCTTAAAAACATAGGAACTAAATTCTCCTCTCAGATCTGTAATTGATAATGTGGTTTCATTACACTTAAATTCATAAGAAAGCAAACAAAAGAATGCATCAGGCAAATTAAGCAGTTTCAACACTATTTTTCAAATGAAAACAAAGTGATCAGGCCACTAAAAAATTTCCAGGTATGCTATATATTTTCTTGATTAATTATAAAATAGAGTAGAGGAAAAGCTAGTCTTAATGAATTTTTTGCAGACTTTTTTCTGCACTAACCTGGCATGGACCAACATACATATTATGAAGAAATATTATGCTAATGAAGTGGCATTTTTAAAATAATTAAAAATGTTGTGGGTTTTTTCAGAATTTTGTTACCAAAAAGCGAAAAACCAATTGATAATTTTAGACATTAAAAACTTATTATTTAAGAGAAATACTTGGAGCAAGATACCAAAAAAGATATGCGCTTTTCATATTTTTCATGCTCTGAAACTCCAATACTGAATATTAATTGTTTCTATCATAGTTATCATATATTCTTGGTTAATGAGCAAAGATATGATAATGGTTTCCAAATGAATAAAAATATATTTAAGAACAATTAGAAACTAATTATCTTAATCAATCAATGAGAACACATCAAGTGACAATAAGCTCAGAATTCAGGAGAAAATAATAATCAAGTAGGGCCCTTTGAGGGGTGATACTGTGAGTAGCACTAGAAATTGGGGTTTTTTCATTTCTCTACTCTTTGCCTCAAAAAAGATGTTAAAAAAATCTAACAGTGGCATATTCAATCAGTGAACAGCACTGGTCTGCTATTCTATGGAGAAAGACAGTTTTTGAACTCAAATTTGAGTATTTAGACTCAATTAATTTTTTAATTTGGACAAATGGAATTATAAGCCCAAAATACTTCCTCAGTAGGAATGAACCCTTACAAACCAGCATGTTAATTTCTCCTTTTAGGCACCTCAATACATTTCCCAGGAAACAGAAAACTATGTGACTTTCATAGGAATGCTGCAGCTGATACTGCTCCTCCTCTGACAATACCTAAGAAAATTAAAAAACTTTATCTTGAATACATCTATAAAAAATTTAATTGGCTAACAGATTTAGATTTAAGGCAAAAGTAACAGAAATACTGAACTATTTTTTAAGTTTTAGATGTGTCACTGCATTATGAAACAAACAACTGGTTATCAAGGCCCAGTCAACAGAATATTTGGTCTTTGTGATTAGATAGAATTTAAATCTCTCTTACCATCAAATACCTCCAGCTCATCAAATTGCTTTTCACTTTGAAACATTTCTACAAAAATGGAGATATTATATCCTGGCTCAACCTTTATAGTCCAAGAACATGTCTGAGAGTTGGGATAGGTGCCTGGATAACCTGGACTGAGGATCACTCCTGATGATTCTGTACGGATTTCATTCGCTGGACATTGTGCTAAAAAGGACACAAAAAGAAGAACAACAAGAACAGCAATGAAATAAAGTGCTTCCATTCCATGAAATGCATGCTTCAGCTTCAGTTTCCAAATGAAAAGATGTTAAAAACATATTCTAAATGGAAGGAACAACACAGTTCCCTATAGCACACAGAGAAACAGAACTGCTTTTATAAACCTTGTATTAGGAAACAAGATACTAATTATAGTAAAACATTAATCCAGAAATACGTTAGAGCCCAAAGGGTTTCCAGTCAAGGGATCCACATATGCCGGTGTGATCAAAACAGGTGAGGTAAAAGTCCTGGTAAAACTTTTTATTTTAAATGTTAAAGTCTGCTGGAGCAACTTGAGGATTAAGAGCTGGTCTTCAAAGTCGTGAATTAGTAGTATCCTGGAGAAATCAGTAATGCTGTCAGACTTTTTCACAGCAAGACAGAGATTCTTTTCAACACAGGAAAACTATCACCTCTCTGGAGAGACTATGCTTTAGGAAACAGCTACAATCATCCAAATATGACAAAAAAGCAGGTGCAAAGTGTATGTCATTTGGATTGGGAAATGGGACTGTAGCAAGTACCTCTGGAGTGTTTTTTGTAAACATGCCATATCTAAAAACTACCATCACAGAAGGTAAGGATACAAATAGCTTTTGTTGCTTGATTTTCCTCAGCTTCCTAGGGAGTTAAGGAAATGACCACTGACCAAATTACTCATGAAACCAATTATTTAGTAGTCATTCAGATTTGAGGTTTGCAAACAAAATCTGAGTGTTATACACATACAGTAAAGACAAGACTAAAGCCTGGTGATCTCAAAAAATGGAAAGCCTGATGGTACATCTTATTCCAGAGAAGTTTACAGTTGGGTTAATTTAAAAGGCTATAATCGCAGCCTTTGTATGGATGGTCTTTCAGCTAAATTCTCACAGGTATTGTTTCCAAAGAGATGTTATAAGTATCTTCTTAAGAACAGGCTGCATGTTTGCTTACTCCATTACCTGAAGTTTTCAGAATCTTAAATATAGGACTGTCAAGTAAGAATAAGATTCAAAATTACATTTTGAAAAGTCTGAGATTAGTTTACAGTGATCCCCAGAACACTGTCACAAAGTGTTGAGATATTATTCATTAACTCAAGAAATTCTCTGCAAGCATCTTAAAGAAATGAGTCAGGGAACGAAATGCAGTGAAAACACAGAGGAAAGTCACCAACTCAAAGTGAAAAATGTTAGTTTCCTTCGGGAAAAAGAAATGTCATATAACAGGAAGAATGACAATCACACTCTGATAGCACAGGCCCTTAGACTATGAGCATCTCAGAAACCTGTGGCAACGCTACAGATGAGAACTGGTAAGAATGGTCTGCAAAAAGACCAGGAAACTGGGAGGAGTAGGGGGGACAGATAAAAAACCCAAAGAAATTACTTTTCCTGCCTTTTTATTTCAACTGCTTTGCTCTTGGCTCACTTACTTTTTCTTGTAAAGGATACCAGAGACAAAAAGTGAGGAAAAGGGACAAGAAAACAGCTTCTTTTCTAGATTTGAAAAAATAACAACAAAAAATATATTTTTTTCAAAAGCAGGTAAAAGTTTTCAATAACACAGAAAGACTGCTCCTAGCTTTCTCATTTGTCACAGCCAAATCTTAAGAAGGAATCTGAAACCAATTTATTCATCACAGGAGGATGTGCCTTTGCAGATGTTTCCTCATGCACTTCTCTCATAACTGAGCAAAAGTATGAAGCTGCTTTGTATTTAAGAACATTTCTTCGGTGGGTAAATATTAAAAATCAACAGCTAAAAAGTCAGAGAATTTCCTCGAGCAAATAACCACATGTACATGACATAAGACAGAGATCAATGAAGGATTGCTGTAGGAACTCTTTCCTCCATATATATTCTATTGTATTCACTTATTGGACTTCAGAACCTTACTAGCAAAACAATTCCCAAAAGAAAGAAGTACTGTTCATACGAAAAAAAAGAAAAAATGCACCTTTCTAATACAAATCAGCACAAACAGTGATGGACAGGATGAAAGGGGATATGGAATATTCCTCTGCAGTACTGATACAAACCCAGCATATTTCTAGAGCAAATCCAGTAAAATGGAAAACCTTATATCCTTCTAACCTCTAAATCGCTTAGTATCTCTCTTGTGCTAGAGAAGAAATGACCAATGAGCTATACCTTTAAGTCTTTAAGATTCACTTCCTATGGCTGAGTTATTAGACAAGAGGTCCCTTCCAATCTCAGCCATTCACAGGAGACAAACCATAGGGACTTATGAGTGCAGCACTTCTGGAGTAGTTCAGGGATACAGGAAGGCAGACAGTGTCTTGCTCCTCTGCAGTTTGGGAAGCTGGCTGTACCACAGGGTTATGTGGCAAATTGAAGTGTTCATCTTGGCAGCTTTTGCTGGCTTTTCCTGTACCATAAGGAATTACTCACCAACTCCCCCCCAGTATAACTTAGCTGCTGATTACATAACAATCTCTCTGTGAAAGCTGTACTTGAATATTTTACAAGACTCATATGGTTAAAGACATAAAACTGAGATATGAGACAGTGAGACTGCTTCACCTTGCTTTGTGAAACAAAACACACATCCATTTTTTAATAATATGAATAACTAATACCTATAATTTGAATAAACTCCACAGTATTATTTTCTTCGTAGCATATACACAACAGGTAAAAACAAAAACCTGCAATTTTGACCTTTTTGTTCTATAATATTAGCTCTTGCCTTTAGCATGGTATTTAAAAAATAGAGTATCCTAAATACGAGGTGCTTTGGTTGAGGCAAATATATTTGTGTTGGTCTAGCTGAGATGGAGTTAGTTTCCCCCTTATCAGCCCTCACACTGCTGTCCTTTGTATCGGTAATTAGCAAGGTGTTGTTAACACACCAGAGTTTTGGCTACTGCTGAGCAGGGCTGGCACAGCATCATCCCTGTCTCTCCAACATTGCGACCCACATCCCCCCAGTAGGCTGGGGCTGGGCAAGATCTTGGAAGTAGGCATAGGCAGTACAGCTGAACCAAATTCACCAAAGGGATATTCCATATGATATGACATCTGCTCAGCAATAAAAGCTAAAAGGAAAGAGGAGGAGGGGTGGGACGTTCATTATTTAAAACAGATACACATGCTGAAGTCCTGCTTCCTGAGAAGTGTCTGGACATCACTTGCTGATGGGAAGTAGAGAATAAAATATTTTGTTTATTCCTTTGCTTGTGCATGTGAACTTTCATTTTTGCTTTAGTAAACTGCCTTATCTTTATCCCTTGTATTTTCTTCCCTCTTCTTGCTGAGGAGGGGAGTGATAGAGTGGCTTGGTGAGCACCTGACATCCAGCCAAGGTCAACCCACCACAATATTACCCTGTTGATACTGTTTCTTTTATTTGTCAATTGATTAACATGTTAACATTGTATTCTTCAGTATTATATTTCATAAAATCATAGCATAGAATCATAGAATCATAGAATAGAATCAGATGGGTTGGAAAGGACCTCTGAGATCATCAGGCCCAACTGTTGATCCACTACCACCACAGTTACTAGACTTTGGCACTAAGTGCCACATCCAGTCTCTTCTTAAATATCTCCAGGGATGGAGAATCCACCACCTCCCTGGGCAGCCCCTTCCAATGCCTGACTTACCCTCTGTGTAAAGAATTTCTTCCTAATATCCAACCCCAACTGGGTTTTTATCCAATCCAGTTGGATAAAATTTATTTTGTTTATTCTATTTATTTTGTTTATTCTATATTTATTCTATATTTATTCTTCCTAATATCCAACCCAAGCTCTCCCCCGTGACAGAGCTTGAGATCATGCCCTCTTGTCTTACTGATAGCTGCCTGGGAAAAGAGACCAACCTCCACTGGGCTACAACCTCCTTTGAGGTATTTTAAGAGAGTTGTGAGGTCACCCCTGAGCCTTCTCTTCCCCAGGCTAAACAACCTCAGCTCCCTCAGCCTCTCCTCACAGGACTTGTGTTCTAGTCCCTTCACCAGCCTCGTTGCTTTCCTCTGAACCTGCTCCAGCACCTCAAAATCCTTCCTGAATTGAGAGGCCCAGAACTGGACACAGCACTCCAGGTGTGGCCTCACCAGCACTGAGTACAGGGGAAGGATCATTTCCATGGTCCTGCTGGCCACATCATTCCTGAAACAGGCCAGGATGCCACTAGCGTTCTTGACCACTTGGGCACACTGCTGGATTTGATACTTTCTGGACACTCTTGTTTTTTATTTATTTATATATTTATTTATATATTTATTTATATATTTATAAGCCTATATTTATAAGTATATTATTTATAAGTATATTTATACATTGAAAATATTTATTATATAAGTATATTCCATGAATTTTAGAAGCGGCTATTATAAAATACTTTGGAGTGATAACAGGATAAAAAACTTTTAAAAAATCAAAAAATAATATTAGGCACATTGTAGGACATAAGTAATCTCTTTTGCATTCATTTTTAACAATATTGTTGCACACTTAAATTTCGAGTACTGTAATTTGTTAGTTTGCACAGATTCAGACATAGGGGCAATATTTACAGAAGAACAACAGGAAATACTACCTATCTTTATGCTACACAGTCACGTAACTGTATGTAGTAGGGCGGTGTCATGAGAAGAGTAATTCTGCAGCATAACACTCTCATCATATCCTAGTTTTGAGATACAGATTACTTTACCTGGATTTTGGAGGAATCTGTTTCACGTTTTTGGGGGAAGGCCTGACCATCCAAAAGTACTTCCGTTGTCTTCATCTTTGATTTTGCTTTTCATTCATAAATATTATCACCACAATAGGACAATAGTATCACACCATCTCTCTGACTTTAGTGTTTTGAGCAGTTTAAAGATTATATTAGAGACCTTCACCTTATACTGAATGTCCACCATCTATTTTACTAATATGTCAATTTTTGTGACCAATATGGGAATACTTCTTGCTGTCACAATGTTC